TTTATTTCTTCTTAGTGCTAGCAATCTCTTCAGCAATCAGCCTTCTTGGCCCCAAATTTAATCATGCTTTTCTAGATAAACTACACATTTTTCAAATATTTCTGTTCTTCTTTCTGCTCCAAATTCTCATAGTAAACCTGCCTAAAATTCACCAGCAATAACCCATACCACTGTCGGAATGCTGTGCTGCCTTGAAATTTTCTCCATCAGGTGAATTAGTCCATCAGCTTTAAATTCAACCTTACAGAGTCTCAGGAGATGGACAAAATATAGACAAGCTTTTCATTAGCATGTAACATGAATGGCCTCTAGTCCAGTTCCCAATTAAGTCCCCATTCCCAACTGAAACCTCATGAGCACAGTCTTTACTATCCACATTCCTATCAGCATCCTGGTCTTCTGAGATCACACCAAAATCATCCATTAAGGCTCCACTTACAACATTCTAAGGCTTCTCCAGCCTGTATCTCCAAACCCTCCGGCAAACCAGTTCCAGAGTCCTCTAAACTGCATTGTCAGGTATGTCACAGTAAACCTCTCCATATTCTGTGTACCGGTTTTTTTGTATTAGTTAGCCTTTTGTCACTGTGACCAAAATGTCTGACATAAACAACTTAGGGGAGGAAATATTTACTTTGGCCCACAGTGTCAGAGACTTTAGGCAGTGGTCAGCTGGCTCCATGGCTTTTGGTCTTAGGTGAGGCAGAAGAGTATTGCAGAAGAGTGTAGTGGAGGAAAGCTGCTCAGCCCATGGCAGCTGGGAAGCACACAGCGAGGAAAGAAGGGGCTAGGTACAGGTTGTGGTCCCCAGAAGCCCATCCCCAAGAACCCACTCATTCCAGCTAGGTTTCACCTCCTACAATTTCTACCATCACCCAGTGGTCCATTCAGCTGTGTACTCCTTGATGAATTAATCCACTGATGAGGTCAGAGCCTTCATGATCCAATTACTTCCCAAGAGCCCCACTCCTGGGAACATTGCTGCATTGAGGACAAGCCTTCAACTCATGAAACACTGGGGGACGCCTCTGTTGTAAACCACACACACACACATACACACACAATGCAGACCACTGCATGCTAATTAGCAGAGCTTTCCTGGAATTTTTATAGCGTGTCTAACAGTTGGGAAAATTCTGTTGTTTTCAAGATTTAGGCTCAGTATTGAAAATCACCTTTGAATCATGTCTTCCATCTTCCCTTCTATATATAATCTAGCTCTTTCAAACTCTAGGTAATTAAGCAATATTATTTGGAGAAAAAAATGCAGGGAAATCCAACCTCCTTGCCATGATAACAGCCCAGATCAAGACGCTGCCATTAGAAGACTTTCCTGGTTATTTTTCTTCTTCCTAATAAGTACAATTAATTTGACATCTTCTGTGATAATCACAAATGATTTTTATTATATATTTTTTAAATTATATAATAATATTATTATATTATATTTGCAAGATTGCAAATAATGGAGTTCTATGACCAGAAAAAAATTATGCAATTTTCAGTTTCAGGGTCTAGTTTAAGTCCGTTTCCTGTCTTTGGACCCTTGGGCTCTTGGGGTTTTAGAGATGGATAGAAGCTTCCTAATCATCAATCTCTCTTACTCACATGCAAGACAACTGCACAAGGCTCAGAGTTGGGAAAAAATAAGCTCATTTAGAAGTATATCATTTCTAGTTTTCAGAGGTAATTAATTCAAAAGCATAATCTAAGTTTTGCTATTGACCTCAGGGCACTGAGCAGAGAAAGGTTACTACTTTACTGACTCTTTCAGAAAGAAGCACAGAAAGGCTGGGGGTTGTTGCTCAGTGGTAGAGCATTCGCCTAGCATGTGTGAGGCCCCTGGTTCGATCCTCAGCACTACATATAAATAAATGAAATAAAGGTATTGTGTCCAACTACAACTAAAAAATATTTAAAAAAAAAGAAAGAAGCACAGAAGTTTGAGAATAAAGGTCACATGATCCTCTGTTTAAAATTAAGAAGAAAATCCTGGGTCTGGGTGTGCCTGTGTGTGTGTGTGTGTGTGTGTGTGTGTGTGTGTGTATGCATGTGTGGGTACATATGTTTTTGGTTTCTTTGGCCTTGTTTTTAGCTAACAGGTCTGAGAACCTTTCTTTGTCTTTCCCTGCATTTGCACATGTGCATTCTTTGTTTTAATTCTTTTTTTCCTTAATAATGCTCTTTGACCTATGCGTGACATTTGCTTACATGAAAAATTACACGTTTAATAGAAAAAGATGAGAAGTATTTAAAAAACAAAAACAAAGCAGTGCCCTTTCATTCACCAGGTATTGGCACAGAGCCCAGGACACACAAGGTTCTCAGGAGAAAACAACCATATTGAGAACTGAAGAAGAAAAAATTGGCTCCAAAATTCTCACAGAACCCTTCAAAATGAAATTAATAAATATTTAATTAAATATTTCCTAAACTCACATTATGTTAGCTTCATTAATTGTTCAATTTAGTATTCATGAAAATTTTATTATCTTGGAAAACATTTCAAGGTGAGATGTTCTCATATCACAAATTCTCAAGGATGCATGATAATTACCAAGAAAGCATTGACATTCCAAATTAAATGAGTTTTCAAGTCAACTAATTTTCAAGGCAAAGTTGTAAATAAAAACTTTTCATTTTAATTTTCCTGCAGAGAAAATTATATTTAATGTGCAATGTGGGTGCAAATGAGATTATTTATGTGATGTGGGCTGAGGCCTCCAGGATAAAAATACACGGGGCCTTTGAGAGGCTTCCAACCTGTCCAGGTCTGGGCTTGGGGTGGAGCTCAGTGATAGAAGATGTGCAGGCCCTGGGTTAAATACCCAGCACCAGTGAACAAATGAATAGACAGGAAACCACACACACACACACACACACACACACACACACACACATCCTGTGTGGAGAACAGAGCAAGTAGTGAAAAGAGCAAGTGGTTCACAGCTTGTGACAATGGGGTCCTGCACCAGCAACCCACTGATGTTGTAAGAGTCCCTTACAAGAGTGACCTTAAAGGAATGGAAGGCAAAAATCACAGATTTTGTCAACAGATTGCATAGCTATCTATTGCTGTGCAGATCACCACACACTTAGGTGATCTAAGTGCGCTCTTCCGATCTGTCAACAGATTGCATAGCTATCTATTGCTGTGCAGATCACCACACACTTAGGTGATCTAAGTGTGTGGTGATCTGCACAGCAATAGATAAACAGCAACACGGCTCACCCTACACTTCATGTGTGAGTCAACAGCCAAGCAGCTGTGTGAAGAGGTAATCCTTGGTGGGGTCTGCCAGGCCGTGGTCTCATCTGGAGGTCCTGGTGGGGGAAATCCCTTCAGGGGATCCCTGGGTTGTCTGCAGAACTAACTTCTTTGTGGGTGCTTTTGGAGCTGGCCTACAGTGCCTGGTCATGCTGGAGTTCCTGTATGGCCATTCCTTTAGCCAGCCAGCAAGGAAGGTTCTAGGTCTGGAGGTTCTAGTCTGTACCAAGGCCTAAGCTCAGGAGTGGTTTCCCTTTGCCATTCCACTTCCTGTGAGTTCGAAGCAAGTTGCCAGTCTCTCCCATACCAGGGGGAGATGTTACACGGAGAAGTGAGATCACTGTGAGCCACTTTTAGGTCTGTACAACACTCAGAGGACCCTAGGGGCCCACCCACTTATATGCACCAGGTCAGCTCTCTTGGCTAAGCATCCACAGCAGCTCTACTTGTGGGGGTCCTGGAGCAAACCCAATGCATTCCTTTCTGTCTTGCTGGGACTCTAAGCAGATGGTTTGGTAGAATTCAGGGGGCTAGCATTTCTCCAAAATGCAACATACCCAAATGCCATTCTCAAAATTATGAAATTCAGAAGACTAGTACCCCTCCATCATCAAAAATCATGCACACAACATTCCCTTTCTATGGATCCAGAAGCAACTGGGGTGTGCTCTTAAGAGGCATTACAAACTCAGGATTTCAGTGTTACAATGCATGCATTTGCTATCCAACACAGATTATGCTTCTGTGTGAATCGGGTATCACTCTAACTTGTGGTTGTAGGACATGTAGAGACTATAGTCTCCAAGGCAGGCCATCTGGGAAGGTGTTGTAGACTTAGGAACTAGTAGTCAGGAGTGTGTGCTGATGGGAAGGGAACTGGCCAAGAGAGGGGGGCTGTCTAGTCTGCAATGAGATGCCGAGCTGCTGCTGGTTCAGGTACTGTGGCATCCTCCAACTTGCACTTTCCCAGGACATTGGTGCTTATCCTTGGCCTTGCTGCTTTTGGTGAGGCTTGCTGGTATTACCTCAGCTGTGATTTCCTCTCTGGTTGAGGAAATGTAGGCCAGGATATCATGGCATCTAACTGCAGCCTAACCCCAGTTTTGACCCAGCTGTACCCTCTACATCCTGCAGGCAGTAGTTACTTACCACAATGTGCAGCCCATGCAGGCAATAGCAGGCTGGCTGCTAGCATGAAATCTCAGGTGCTATTATCTCTGGTGGCCAGAAGGGACAGTGCCACCTTTCCTGGTAAGCTCCCACAGATGGTGATGCTCAGGTGCAGACTCCTCCGACAGTGGCATCTTTAGCACATGGCTTCTTATGTCCCTGTCATCTATGTCAAGCCATGGAGAGAAAGGTCATGGAAGACTGTGTGGAAGGTTTCATGGGCTCAGCTGGAAGTGATGCCATTACTTCTTCCTGGCACAGGCAAGCCCACCTGCAAGGGGCCCTGCGAAGTGTAGTCTATTCAGCCAGGAGGAAGAGGCTTAGCTGGCAGTTCCTGCACACAGGATGTTTTGGTGGCCATGAAGCTATGCTCACATGCTTGGCAGGCAACCTCACAACAGCACCTCTGAGGACAAGGCATATGACCACAGATAATTTCTTCTTCAAATAGGTACATAGAACTTGGTGTGTTCCAGATGCTGCTCTAAGTGCTTTAAAAACAATAGCTCAGTTATCCCTGTACAACTGCATATAGTAGGCACTGTTATTATCCTTTCTGCAGATAGGAAGACCAGCACAGAGAGGTCAAGTGGATTACTCAAGACAACAGCACCAGTAAACAGCAGGATTGAAGACTTGGACCCAGTATTCCTACTCCAGGGCCAGGCTTGGCCCCCACAAATGCTGCCTCCAGCTTCCTTGGTACTGTGGCTCATCAGAACAGTGTGTTTCTTTGGGTCAAGAAATCACGTGTCTTGGCATAGCGCCTGAGGAAGGATGGCATCATTCCCATTTTACAGACAATGTGAAGCTGTCTGCAGACACTTTGAGCACCCAAGTCACACATCCAGGAGCAGTACGTTGCGGTGTCCTATAGAGACCATGAGTGTTACTTGTTTCAATAATTCCCCGAGGAGGAAGACTTGTTCCTTAGTCCATTTGGGTAGCTATGCCAAGACCACAGACCAGGGGGCTTATAAAAACAGAAATTGGTTCTTCAAAGTTCCAGTAGGAATGGGATTTGTGCCAGCTTCCTTGACTCTGTGTCCTCCTGTGCTCACTAGGTGGAAGGAAGTGTAAGAGCCCTCTGGGCCTGTTTCTAAGGCTACTAACCCATCCAGGAGGCTCCAACTTCTTGATCTGGTCATCCCGAATACTTACCTCCAACACCATAACCTGGGAAGCTGGTGCTTTAACAGGTAGATTCTTGGGAAGTGCAAACATTCAGATGACAGCAACTCATTTAATCCTGGAAGGGAATGCAGGACTGGCATTGATATCGGGTGGTGAGCTACAGGCTCAAGGGGACTCAGGCATGGCAAAAACTGGCCATGGTGAGGCCCATGACCTCTGGATGAGGAGACGCAGTCAGCCCAAGGAAATCCCGCACATAGCCAGCTTCCTCCCCATCAGAACAACGTGGAGAGTTGTGCATCAGGAAAGAGGTAGTGAGGACATGTTCTGGTCTTTGTACTCCCTGCATCCCTCCAGGAAAAGCACCCAAAGATCTGTCCTTCAGACTCTTACCTTCAACTTCCAGGTTTTTAATCAGACTCATCACAGTAAAACATATCACCAAAAACATGGAGCAAAAAAATTGGAAAAATGTCTCTGCATTAGCACTTCAGTTGCCTTTACAAACAGTTTTACAAAGTCGGCTCTTCTCTGTGCTTGCTTGCTAACCCTCTTGTTTAAGTCCCTGAGCATCAACTTGGTTTCTTTGAATTACGTCATGAGCTTGTTGGTGCCTGGTTTATGAATGATCAGTAACAAATGACTCTGCCTTAAGTTATCTCTTTTTTTCTTCTCTAATGCTCTTAATATAAAAAAGTATAATAAATGTGTTAAAAAAAAGAATGAGGTATTTGTAAATTTATAAAGTTGTTAAAAGAAAAATTTAAAAGCAAACAATTGAGCATAGGATTTTGTCTTCCTAGCATAACTCTTTATGTTTCTGTATGCTTCCCTTTGGTCTTTATATATGCTAGCAATCACATTTTTGGAGTACTGAGGATGTAGAGATGAATTTCCTAACCATGTTGTCATGAAAGATGTTCCTCACTGTGATTTCCAACCTCAGCTGCACCTAAGTGTGCTCAGTGCTCTGTTCTCATCCCCTGGCCAGTGTGGGACAGCATGAGGCCCCGCCCTCTTCAGGAGGGCCCAGGGCTGAATGCTGCTGCCTCTTCCTGCCAACCCAACTTCCCACAAATATTTCCACTGAGGTAGTCAAAGTCTGTGAATGAAGAGAGGGCCTTTGGCTGACCCCAGAATCTGCTGGGCACGTGGCTTCTCCAGAGAATCCGTCTCACAAAAATTCTGGCAACCTTGTAATTATTCTTCTTTCTGTAGGTGAAAAAACAAGACATTTGGAGAGAAAATAAGATTTACCCAAACCCTTCATGGTTAGTAAGATTGGAATTTAAGCCTGCGTTCCTTTCAATCAAATGTCTGTGCCTTTCCTATATTTCTTCCAAAACAATACTTTATTTATTTATTTTTTGGTACTGGGGATTGAACTCAGGGGTGCTCAACCACCAAGCCATATCCCCAACTCCTTTTATTTTTTTATTTTGAGATGGATTTGCTCACTTAGTTGCTCAGGCTGACCTTGAACTTGCGCTCCTTCGTCTTCAGCCTCCTGGGGCACTGGTATTACAGACATGTGCCCCAGATGAAATAAAACTTTTGTTCTAAACACTCTATGTGCATGGACTTGCCAAGGTGGAGATAGACAGTGGGGCTCAGGTGTATGTGTTCTGGGATGGGCCAGGGATCCAGTGCAGAGCAAGTGGTTCCCACGTGGCTGGGTCATAGTATGAGTATGGTCTGCTGTATCCCTTCATCCCTAGTGGGACTATCCCAATGCTTTCAAATGGGGACTGTTCCCTTTTGCACAGGGGGCTGAGAACCTAGACTTGATATGTCACATGGAATTTTCTGCACTCATTTATAGGCAGTGCTCTTTGATGAGAATTAATTTGAGGAATTTGCCACAATTTGACTTTTATATGAAATCTAATTACTTGCCTCCAACAAGACTCACAGACAAGACCTGCCATCTGTTGATCAGCTGGCCCAGAATGTAATGATTATCTTTTCTCTGATGCCTTGAGACAGATGCTTTCATTTCCTTAAGAAGCCAAAGCAGACATTTAAGTATATCTACAGTTCGGTTCATGCACTTACAAGGTCACCCTAGGGAGGAAGGATATAGACTGCAGGGGGCGCTCTTCCTGTGGATCTGCTTGGTAAGGATGTTGGTATTTATTTTCCTCAGCACACCAACATATTGGAGGAAAAGTGAATCCTAAGTCAGTTCTGTAAACACACTGGGCCTGAAGTAACAGACAAAAGAAATGGAATGCTTTGTTGGTTTCCTTTTTACAGAACTATATCTGGAAACAGGTTACCTGAAGAGAATACATCTTATGTGCTGGCACAACGTTAAGTCCTCTTGCTGTGGCCAATTGAATGTATGCGTTCTAGTCTCCACCCCTGGGTCACATGGTCTTGCTTGTGTTGTGTATGCCCCTAGGTCTAGTGGCCAAACAGTCCTCTTGGATGCCATCAGGCTCATGCACTTTTCCTGGGCTGTGGTCTGCTTGCAAAGTCCTGTTGGCTGGGTGACCAGCTCTGTAGCCAGGCCTGAGGACAGCATGCCAGCTGTTGGGTTCCTGCAGAAGACTCCCAGGATGGGCCTGTGAGCTTGCTAGTTGCTCTGAGCGATGCTTGTGTGCTCCTTGGGCCTCAAGGTTCCCACCTCTTCCTTCCTGCAGCACTGGTGAGAGTGTTTGCTGAGAGCCTAGGGTCTCTGCCAGGCCCAGTACTCTGGGCTTCCCTGTGGCTGCACTGAAGTATAGCATGTGGCATCTAGCTAGCGTTTGGACTGTTCTAAGGAAGACACCACAGCAGAAATATGTGGCCTAAAGCCCCACATCCAGGGGCTTTAGATGGCAGGCCAGGGCCACCCCAGGTCCTCTGACTGAACACTCCTATGTTATTGAAAAATGAAAAGCAATTAATTTAAATACAGTATATTTTGGAGCTGTTTTAGGGACATAGTTAAATTGAGCAGAAAGTTCTGAGTTACCCCCCACCCATGTAGCTCCCCCCTCCCAGGTCAATATCCTGCATCTCAACTGTATGTTCTGTTACCCTCACTAAACTACATGGGAACACCGTCAGCACCCACAGGCCTGGTAGCATTAGGGTTCGGCTTGGTGTTTCCCAGGCTATGTGCTTATGTAAATGTACCATGACATGGTCTTTAAGATTGCAGTGAAAAGGGCCTTTTGACTCCAAGTCTAGGGACTCCCATGTGCCTGTGGCTACTGGGACAGACAGAGGAAGGATAAGAAGCCCTGGAGTAGCAACGGATGCAGCCGAGAGGCTGCAGGCTCAGTTTTGGGGCTACTCTGGGCGTGGTGCAAGCCTCTGCCATCTGCTGACTTTCAGCAGCACCAGGTGTGAGCTACCACACTTAAGTTTGTGCCAGATCATTAGGCTACTTCCACCCAGGCACCTATGAGCAAGCGCGGTGTGAAGGAAAGGTTGGCGGAGGAGCGAGATTACAGGGGTTACACATGGCTCCAAATGGAGACTGCAGCGTTAACCAGAGCCACTTTCCTACCAAATCAGCCAAGCGCTGCCTGCCCAACGGCCACTGAGGGGTCCTGCAAGAGCCACTTGCAGACGCCCCTCAAGTGGGCCTGTTTCCTAAGTCTGGAGCACCTACCCCCAGGAGCTGAGCTCAGGCCTTGCTTTGGACTACTCCCACTCTGGCCCTTGCGCTGTGATCGCCCTGCCTCTACCCTGAAGGGAGCAGGGCTGCATTCTCCTGTGGCATCTGTTGGGGCTGGTTTCCTCCCTTTGAACAGCTGGTCCCCACTGGAGGATAAGCACCTGATGCAGTGTGCCTTCTCAGTTCTCAGCCACCATTAAAACAGGTGACCTGCTGTTGAATATGCCGCAGTCTGGCTGCAGCAAACTAATGGGGATGAAGGGGTGGGTGGGAGGTGACGAGCAACTTGTGTAGATTGATACAGCAGGAGTGGGAGCCGTTTATTGTAGGACAGTAGGGGTATATATACATAACTGAATACACAGCTTAACTTAATTAAGATAAACTAGATATGTCAACCAATAAGGAATCCTCATCATCTTGATTACACACAGCTTAACTTAATTGACATATTCTAGACACAGCAGTCAGTCATTAAGGAATCTCCACACTTAATGGCTCGCTGGCTGTTACTTCTCAAACCACTCCTCTTGGCAAAACGCCAGGCATCATCTTGACTTGTTTTTGACCCTAACAGAATGGATCCCGGGTCCATCTACTCCCCACATTCCCAGGGCTCGTCGGAGGTGAACACTGCGGGTTTTGTGTCCCTAGAGAGCTGGGGACTGGTGGCCATGGGGCCATTGGTGAAGCTGTGTGGTCTAGGTACTAATGATGGCCACTGCTGGAGCTGTGGCTGCCACCTACAAGCCTAGACAGGGCTTTTATTTTATTTTATTTCATATTTGGAATGTATTGCCAAATACTGTCCCTAAACATGTATTCTTTTCTTTCTCACATCCTACTGAGTCTTTTTATGGTCATAATCATTTGATGTTAAAATTATAATTTTAAGTTACAGAGAGCCAGAACCTGAGAGAATCCTACAGTTCGTATATTTAAGCCTTTGCTGTGTGTTCTCATACCTGGCACACAGTGGGTCTTGCATGTTCAAGGGATTGAGCCTTTGAAATGCCTTGTACATGGTCCTGGAGGTTTGAAGCACAGGCTTTGACATGCCTTGTGCCTTGTGCACAGTGGGTCTTGGAGGTTCAGGTGGACCTTTGTTTATCATCATGCACAAAATTATTTCTGTGCACACACTGGATTCGATCACGTTTGGACACCTGCTTTGGCTGTGTTGTTGCGGCTGTTAATCATCTGGCTTATACCGTCATGCCCATGCATCTTTTCTTGAGAAAGGGAACTTAGGGTTTTGGAACTAAGCCCTGAAGTCTCCATTTCAGTGTCATGTGGTACTGGGTGAGGCAGTCACTCACACTTGGGTATGCAGCGCTCATGAAGCCATGACCCAGGAGCTCCAAAGTAGGCCTTGGTGCAAGATCAGGGCCTAACTAAACCCTTCATTAGTATTTCTCCCACCTGAGGAGACCAAGGGCTTCTCAGGTGTCTGAGCTCTCATGTGGACTGCTTTCTGTTCTAAATGGTGCCATGAACACTGGGTCCTGCAAGGGAGGACTCTATGTTGTCACATGGTGGAAGGGACTGAAAGGTGAGAGGGACATCTGTGGGTCCTGGAGCCCTTTCACAAGGTGCTAATCCACTCCTGAGGGCAGAGTCCTTGTACTTTCACCTTCCAGGGTGTGCCTCTGAATCCCAGTCCACTGGGGCCCTGGTTTCTACAAGAACACCAGAGGATAAGCAGATATTGACATATCAAGGCATCACCAAAATCAGGGGTGCTCAATGCTGTCACACAGAAGATGCATGTGAGCTTGCCCATCATCCACCAGCTGACCAGAGCTGGCCTTGAGCCTCTGGGCCCTGGGCTCACCATCCTCTCTGCCTCTGTTGTCTGAAGCATCTTCAGCCTAGGGCAGGTACACTAGACTGGGTTTGGTGTGCACAAGCAGAGAATGGCCAGCAAGTTTCGAGCATGATTGAGGAGACAGAGGAGACACAGGATCCCAGCTGGTGACCACAGGTAGGACAGAATTAGGGTTGATAACAAAGTTTCTCACAATAACCCTGTAA